TTGTAAGAAAACTGTTACCAATCACTTATAATAAACAAAAAATTTAAAGGAATCAAGGACACTCTCTCTTTTAAAGGAATTGACAAGACTTGTTCAATATTATATATTTTGAAAATTAAAACTATGAGTATTATATTGTAACGATTGAAATTTTCCCTCTGTCGGGAAATCTCTTATTTCTATAATTTCCTGGAATTAACTAATACTTCCAGTTCAGGCGCCCTGATTATTTATGGGTAAACTGAACCTGTCAGCTTGCGCTTTCTTTGCGTTCATAATAACGCACATATTCACTTTCGGATCATCAACTAATGTTTCAATTTATAATGGAGTAACTCTAAGCTTAAGCATGGGTTCATGCCCAAAAGATGCAAAAAATTTCATGGCATGAGCTAATCAATATGCCAACGTCCTTCGCAATTTTCCAAATAGTGATTCGACAATTCTCTTTGAACAACTTTCTTCACTCCTTCAACGTTTCCTTTGGTTGTTGACGTGCTGGGGCATGCAGGGACGACGTCCCCATCACTATTTATTTACTCTAGCTTATTTGAATATAGATTTTGCATAATTCTGAGTGCAACTGATATTTCAATCTTGGCCTAAAGACAAATTTAAAAGCTAAGACCGCACGAAATGAAAAACCTTACAATTTTCAGGCCGTTACGTTATCAAGCGTTCTTGGGAATTGCGAATGGCTTCATAGACTGAGACAGTTAAATTTTGAACTTAATCTGACGACGGTTTGATGTTCTAGCCAATGTTTTGATTCAGAGATTTGGATAACAAAGTAGGCAGACAAATAGAAAGTTATGACTAAATCGGCTGTATTATGGAATATATATATATTATGAAATTTGCGATGCATTTTTTATCGGTTAAAAAGATTTAACAAATCGAGTAAGTCTCCCCCATGGTTTGCATAACAAAACACATCACTTTTACTTATGTATACACATTACACAAGTAGGTGCATATGAATATACAGTTTTTATACATACTTTTGTTACTTATAATATCCTTAGTAAGGTTCAACAATGAAAGATTTTTTGCATAAACATGATATTGTTATGCTTTGAGCATGTTGCTAAGAGAAAAGATGTTTTTGCGTAAAAACTGAGCATTTCTTAATGGAATAATTTAAAATGTAAACACACATACGCAAAACATTCTTTCTTCTTACATCAATTTTTTAAGAGTAGTTGTTTACGTACAGTGCAGTACATCGACACGTGCTTCATGCATTCTACTATAGACCGAGTTTTATTTGGATGCCGGCTATCGAAAGTGTGGACCTGCATACGATTAGTTTTAAGTTATTTCGTTTCGTCGATGAAACGATATGTGATTTCCATGTATAGTGAGAGAGGGTTTTTTGCTTATTTCTAACGTAAGTAACTTACAAAGCATAAATTTAAAGAAAAGAAAAAGTGTTTAAAATTGTAACGGATTAAGTCAAGTTAGCGTAACGTGAATAGGATGAGAAGATTTAAGCAGACAGACAGACAGACAGACAAACGGATATTACTAAATCGATCTGGTTATTCATGCTTGCCAAGTATGTACACAAAGCCTGTAATGAGTGCTTGTGTACGCTGCAACAAACATTTATCAAATCTAATAAACCTCTTCTGTGAAGTGCAAGCGCAAGAAGCAAGCAGTAGACCCAAGTGAAAAATAAATCTTTTTTTTTTTCTTTGTGTTTATTTTCTGGCATATTTATTAATATATTTTAATATATTTATATAATTATGGTTTTTATTTATTATTTATGATCGAATTTCCAATTTCCAATCAGAATCATGCCAAGATTCCCTTTGTTTACATATTATGCATATATAGCTTTACGATATAATATAAAGCTTTGTTCCATAATATACTTACTATAAGCATATTGTAATTACGGAATTGTTTTAATAATATTCACTATAATTTATTTCATTTTTTATTCTAATGAAAATGTTCTGCTGTTGCTCTAATTCATCGCCGATATACATTAAAGTGCTAACGTATTAAATAATTTATACATATATTGTAATTAGAAGAGAATACTCTTCTCTTCTGTGAATTTTTAGGTTTAAGAAAGTCTTTTTAACAACATCATATAGTCTAATAAGGATATCTCGCTGCATCGGTGTGATATTTGTTATAGTAACTATGACTAAAGGGAATATATGACAAGAGAGTTTCCGCTCGTTTTACTATAATAGTTAAAGAACCAAAATTAGTTAAATATATCGTTAATAGTTAATAACACAAAATTTTGTTCACAGAGTAAAAAGAAAGAAGAAGAAAAATAATTAATAATTTTATCACTTTTATCAGGCATTCGTATATACGCATACCTCCGTAGTTATTTAATGTAAATATCTCCAATTCATCGAAAAGCAAGCAGTCGAATTCAGAGTACGCAACAACAAAAACAGAAGTTTAATATTCTTAGGTTGTTCGGAAAATAATTTCGTTGTTCACTAAATTGTTTTTCTTTTTTTAAATATAACACCGGAATTTTGATTTCATACATGATTTCAACATCACTTGCAATGGGCACATTTGTCTGAAGTTGTGCTTTTCTCTACCGCTTAGACATCTGAAAACAATAAGCAGCCGTATCACCAACAAATATCGCAAGATGAAAATTTACTTTTTCTGGCAATATAAATAATGACTTTTGTGCCAAATGAAAAGCATATTCTCTCTTCCTGAACCGTATAAAAAAAAAAAATCATTTTGCATTGTATTCTAGCTAGGAATCAAAACTCGATCTATTTTGAGAATTCCAGGTATAAGAATTGATCAGTAGTCGTAGGCGTACCTTCCACAACGACTGCGGGACGGAATCGCTTTGGCACCAAGACAATATTCCATGTCTGATGCTACTCGAAGAGTGTCATCCGTTATTGACTGAGATATTTTGATGAAATGATTAATACCAAACACTACTAATAACAATTAATCGAATAGAACCGTTTCTTATGTTCAAAAACATAGCAAACTATAAAAAAAGGCACAAGAAGAACATTCTTTTTACCTGCCACCCACCTATCCCTTCCATACAGCGAAACCGGCTCACAATGCATTAGAAGCACTAAACCAGAAAGTGTTAGCTCATATGGCCTACACATCAAACTCGCATTATTTTCGTTACTAATTGTGCGGATCAATATGTTTTGCCTCAAAAGAGCAAGAACTTTTTCAGCGTGGTATTCCCAAATTGTCAAACAAGTAGGAAAAATATATAGCTAGCGATGGTCAATACTTGGAATGAAATAATTTTTATCATTTTCTGAGGAAAAAGATTTTAATTGATGGGCATCGTCTCATAACATCTTATAAGGTCGCTGATACATTAAACCTATCGAATTCAATGGTTCATGGTGAAGCGTCCCCACTCGACATATGGGTGCTTATAGAAGCACCTATGAAAAGCAGAGGTCAAGAATATGATTCATTTTTAAAGCGAATCAATACTGCGGATGACAAATAGATGGTCCACGTCAATGTTAAACTCAAGGAATTTTAGAGCGAAAAGATTCAACCATTACAAAAGCCGATATTCATCAAAAGCGTCGATACTATCTGCTTGATTGGATATCAATGGAATCGCTTTTTATTTTTTCTTAAGCTTCTACCGAAAAATACCACAATGATAAATTAAAAATCCCAGATATACTATTCTACAAAGATGATGGGAGACCTCGGGCAAGTTTGATAACGTGCCAAAAAGGTTTTGCGGCTTTGATTGAATCGGCTGCAACAGCCACCATATTCTCAAGATATGGGATTTATATTTGTCCCGGTGTCCGTAGAGCTTCACTTTAAAAGATAACATAAAAATCAAGTTAAATCAACTTTCAGAGGGCAAAGCTGGTATCCTAGTGCCAAAAATATTGTACCCGCTTCTAAAGGCTTTCCCCAACAACCCAATTGTTCCTTAACGTGATATCGATAATTATTTCTCGAAGTAGTAAAAGAAACGAATGCAAGCTCTATAGTTATACATGATGTTTGATAGTAATAAACAAACTAACAAAGAGACTTGATTAGTTGGACAGAGACACGAACAAATGATGCGTGCATATGTGAAACTTAAGCGGATTATGTTCTTAAACTGAAACACTGCAATCCATTTACTGCAAAGCAAAAAACTGAAATGAGCGAAAGAATGTAAATATTTACATGTATAACAAAATTAATAAAAAATCTTTAATAAACAGTTTATCCTTTGACTTTGTTTTATAAACTGTTAGGCGAGACCTCTCCGTATATTCGTATCGTGTTAATCTTCATATTTATCAGTAGCTTAACTCACATAAATAAATTATATTTTACATAAATGGCATCTAAAGCATACTTTTAGGAAGATCTATAAAACGCATTAAAAAAATCGTTCATATAATCAGAAATTTATCACTAGCCTTGAGAAGCATCAGAAACGTGAATATCTTGTTGACGATATTTGTCGTATATAAGCGACTCATATAAATTTTTTGCTTAATATAGCGCTTGGCTTTGAAATTTGACCGCGAAACGTATGCACGTAGCTCGATCACTGTTAGTTAACAAACGATAAAATTGAGAAAAAAAAAAAATATTAAAGCAGTGAAAAGTGGATTGTTCCCATCAAAAAAATATAAAAGTCGGGCGTGAATTTTTATAATCTCTTAAGCGGAATTTTCCTCATATGTTGGAGTATCTCGCCTCAAGTTCAAAATAAGTTTTCTCTTAAATGTTTTTAGCGTCAAGTATTTCAGTTTATTTATAACTTTTTGAATCGGGACGACTAATGAATGAACGAATTGAAGAACGCAAGAACAACTAGCAAATATTCTAAGCATCAATTTCATGTGTGTTTGCCTTAACAGCAACAACTTGTTGCTTGTGCGTTTACGAAAGCATATTATCTCTCCTTTCTCAGCTTTTAGTGCAATCGTTGACGTTGCTTTGTAACAAACACTCATTTATTCAGTCGATTCGCAAAAACTTATAATTATTGAACAAAAAAAAAAAAAAAAAAAAAAAAAAAAGTTTTTATTAAATATTCTATTGTTGTACAATTAAAGTTCTTTATGCCTTTGTAGAAAAGTCGAAAAAAAAAATTTTTTAATTTTGAAATTTTTCATAAAACATCTTTAGACAATTTACGTGTGCGTACGTGTGTATATCATGATGTAATTTTTTTTTTTTTTTTTTTTTTTTCTGCTCTATATATTCTTTTCAATATTTTATTTTTAGATAATTAATTGTGAATTTATTAACACAAGAGCGACTAAATCTGTATTAGATTTACAAACTATTGTTATATTATTGTTGTTGGTAAGCATTATTTAAACATTGGTGCCATTTGATCTTTATTTGGAGAACCTGCCAATGCAGTGAAAGTTTACATTTAAAGGTAAATATTTTTTCTTTACTCAAAAATATATAGATTTATATAGTTCCCATATATGCGATAGTGGTTAGATGGCGAGGTGACATTTGAAAGTGATTGAAAATGAACCGGTATTGCGTTCAAGGTTACTACTCATAAGCCGAACATACATTTTTCAAACAGCAAAAATTAACAAGAAGTATAATACAAACGCACCATGCGATATAAGTGCATAAAAACAATTTCATTTAACTGTGATTTTTCACCTTTTGCAAGCGTTTTGGTGCACTTTAGCGAAAATGCATTTGGCTTCGACTTGTTCTTCTCTACAATGTACTATAATATATTAGCGAGCAGTGCATTTATGCATTGTAGAATAAGACAAGAATCAAAGCCACTATAAGAGTTTCGTTCTAATTCTGTCTTCAACTTCATGCTTTTTAGCAAAAAAGAACAACATTTCTTCTCTTCTTGGGTTTGCTTTTGCTTTAATGTTTGCGATAGCTGCATATGCGTCAAACACTTTAATCTTGCAGCGAAAATGCACTCCTTTGGATTTTCTTAGAGTAAGAAGTTTATAAGGAATAGATGATAATTCGATTTTTCGATTCAATTGTTCATCGATTTTGGTCGAAATAATCGAAAAGTGCTACTCTCTCCTTCCTTACTGCTCCGCTTACAATCGTTCCTTATAATCATGGCACTTGCCTGCCAAGCAATATTTCATGCGTGACAGTTCAAATAAAAGGCAAGAAAAACCAGTAAGAAAGTTATATTCAGCTGAGGCCGAATCTCGCATACCAATGGCCATTAAAATCTTTGGCCCCTTTTGGCCAAATGAAAGGGATGACATAAAATTTATCTTTTAGCTTTTACTTCATTAAAAGACGTTGCTAAGAAATATTGATCTTTCACGTCGTGACCTCTACCATCATTAAATTCGAATTAACCGACACTCTTAGCTTATCGCGTTCTACTCTTTAAGCCCTTTTATTTGATATCCAATTATTTACTTTTTTAATTTTAAAACTAACACATTTTGGTTTGATTATTAACACTCTTGCTTGCCTTATGGGATACTCTTTTCGACTTCATTTCGCCGAGTACAGTTTGGTAATAGTAAACTAACAACTACACCATATTTTCATACAAAGATATACTTTCCACCCCACATCGCACATATTGGAAGATGCCCAAAGCATCATATGGCGTGATCCAAATTTGGCAAACTTTATTAACTTCCCAAAAATATGACTATATTTGCGTTTCCGTTATGAAAAACTACAAATTATATATTCTCTCCTTATAAGGGTTTGCTTTTCATAACAGCACCTATATATGTGAGTGTCTAAAAAATGTGGTCCAATGTGGTACAAATCCCCTGTCGTTGATTTTGTTGTTAAATTGTTACTATGGACCAGTTTCCACCATAAAAAATTAAACCTTTTCTTCAGGGCTTACTATTCTTATATGAAATCGGGTCCAAGAAATAGACCTACATTGTCAAAATTTGACAAGATAAATTTTTATGTCAAGCCACTATTATAAACCGTTTCCCACTGTGAAATATTGAAAACCAGACATGGTTACCTTATAAAGAATCAGTCTTCGTAGGAACAATTATATGAGAGAAGGATTAAAAAATTGACTCATTCAAACCACATTATTCATTTCAATTTAGAAATTCGCAACACTATTATAGAGCCAACTTTATCGAAAAATGTTGAAAATTTGAATTGTTTCCATGTAATGACTTTTCAGAATAAAGCGTTGTACGGGGAGTAATCTAGAAAATGGACCCGTCCAAATTATTTTCAATAGCTTTCGCCCTTGGGCCAAAGCAAGTTAGTGTAAAAAATTTCACCAAATTATCTCCAAATATTGTGGTCTCCATATTGAACACAAGAAAATAAAACGCACAAATGGACAGACGGACGGATAAGATTCAGAAAATGACTCTTAATCGATTGGTATAATAAAAGGTGGACGTATCTCAATTCCTTCTGGGTGTTGCATACGCACGAAAAAACTTAATACACCATTGTACCACAAATGGTGTGAGATAACAAAAAAAATATGTGAGATACATTTTTGTTCTTAACGTACGATCTCGATCAGTTATCGATTTGAAATTCGCAGAAATATTTTTGCGACACAAAGCGTTGAATAAACAATTTAATGAATAATTCGCCAATTAACGCAATGAATACGTTTGCATATCTGAACTTCCCCTGGGAAAATGCCATATATAATACGTAATCTATCTACATAAAATGAATATTTGTTTTAATAGCCCATTACTATAAAAACAAAAGGTAATATCGACCGACTCTAGATCGACTTGACCGATTAGTAGCTTATCATAGACAGTAATTAGTGTTCAGGCAAGTAGTGAGTTTAAAAGACGGTAGTGACGGAGGAGCACTCGTGTAACTATTTCGTGAGCTCATCTTTTAAGCCAATGCGTTTGGGAAGAGTCGTGACATGAAAAAAGGTATAAGTTATTCAAAACATGATTCCAGGACGCAAAGTCTTACTCTTAGTTCGCATATACTGCGAGACATGATGGATTTAGTGGCTAATAATAAAAATTTGTAGACTTAAGCACACTTTTAAACAAAATCAAATATTGCTTGAAATCATTTAATATTCATATGATATTTTTTTGCTTATAAGTATGTAGATCTTTGCAATTCCATCGCATAAGCTTATTGTTAAGCAACTCACGAGATTTAGCCAAAATTTTAGAATAAAAAGGGCCTTCCAGCCTTTCCTAGCATTACACAATACTCAAGTAAAGGTAACAATGATATAAGGTAGCCCTTAAACTGACCTGGACGTCCTTGCCGACAGAGTCAGGCAAAAAAGGAAATGCCTCCACCAAGGACAAAAAGAAAAAAGAATCAAATGATCATAGGACGCACTTGCTTTTTTTTAAATCGTACCAGAAAACTCGATTAATCCGTCATTAGAAATTTTAGTGTAACTGCGTAAGAAATTCCTTCCATTCATTTTTGGATATATTAACAGAGTTGCGATCCTCTAAACCATAATCAACCGTTAAAGATACCGTTGCAAATATGTCCTTATGATATAATTACTCGTAACCTTCCGCCGATAAGCATTCTTGTTTACACATCTGCATTTTCGCGTTGAACAGAATTCTTTCAGCGTTTATCGCACAATCCATATCATTGAGTAAGCAAATAGTGGCATTTATCAGAAGCGCAGGCACATAGGGTGTTAGGCAAATACAGTTATGTAAAAATAGCTTGGCATCGCATTCTGTTTCGCAATTATACAGTAGACTATTTGCGGTATAGGGTATATTAAATTTATGTAGACATGTGTATCATCCTAAAGGACTTGAGCGGGACCCATCATTTTTTATACCCTTACCCAAGCGTGTCTATCCCTCTGTCCATCTGTCCATGTTCTTTGTTCTGGGTTTAACCAGGAGCTCGTAATTTTTAAGACATTTCGATGATCTTTAGTAAACTGACGTGCTTTGACCCAAGAACGAGCGCTATTGAAAATGATTCGGATGGGACCACTTTTTCGACCACTCCTCATCTAAGTCATTCTATGAAAATATATTCCAATTTTCAGAATTTCGCAACAAAAAGCGCGAAACAATAGCACTTGGGCATTCTAAATTAGTACGAAAAACTAGGACCGGATGGGGTAATTTTTATAACCCCTCTTGCCAGTTTCTGCGAAAACTGAATCTTTATATGGTAAAAAGAAAGACCTTATTTTTAAAATTTCTTGATGAAAATTTCCGCGTAATAACAATTTGAGATTACGCAATTTGGACAACGTAGGTTCATTTGCTGTATCACCAATTATGAAAAATATGTCCTTATATAGCAAAAATGTCTAATTTTTGATACGATTTTGAACGATTCCCATTAAAAACGAATTGAATGGGACATGTTTTTGTGACAACTTACGATCATAAAATTTCGTTTAAAAAACATCAAAAACAATTTTCGATATCAAATGTTTTTTGGCAAAAAAGTGGTGAAAAATAATACATTGCCATACTAAATGGACCATTTTTGGAACCACCTCTCACGTAACACTTGTTCTTGCAATAAATAGGGCCTCCTACATCAAGAACAACTGATAGCTCGTGAAGAAACATTGTCCAGAATAGCGATTTGACATATACAGTTAACTACTACAAAATTTGGACCACATTGATCTATTTTTCGAATCTCATCCCATAAAAAGTAAATCTTTATATGGCAATAAGATGTAGTTTTTGATATTTCGCAATGGTAAATGGATAGTTACCTTAATCGAACTAGTGTAGGGTGTTTAATGGACGGCTAGATCGATTATGACGTCGTGGCTTTCTCTACGGTGAAGATGTATTCTTACAAAGAGAACTAAGAAGACTATTGGTGGTACAAAGCAAAGCATTTGGAAATTTTCAGGTTTTGGTTAGTTAGGGACGAAAGTACAGTTGTGTACGCATCTAACTCATTTTCGAAAAGGAATTTATGAGTAGTCAGCTTCAGCTTTCTAAACGAAGTGGGAAAAAAAATTTTTTTTTTGTCCAATTAAAGCTTTTCGAATCGCATTTGATTGGAGCGAAAGGCATCAATTAAATAGCTTTCATTCGCTAAATACTTCTCTTCTTATTTTTATTTACATCTTGCTCTCAGCAAAACATTAATCATCATCACGAAAAAGATCTGAGCATGTCTCCTTAGTCGCAATATAATATTGCCATATTAATCTTACCACGTGATTGGCTATGCTATGAGAGAAGATAGCACTCTAACTTCAAATGAAAAAAAAAAAGAAAAAAAAAACTCATTCTTCAATAACGCTAATCGCGTTAAGAAAACTTTTTCGTAAACATAATTAGGCAATTTGACTGACAGATCATTACTTTCGAAATGTTTTGATGAAGACTTCAATATGCAATTCATCCACCACGCGAGTGAATAATTTCCAACACCTACGCAACTATATATAGATAAATAATGTCCTTTAAACCATCTTCTAGTCTG